GAGAGAGAGTGTGTGTAAGAGGGGGAGAGAGAGTGTGTGTGAGAATATGTGTGTGTTTGACTGAGAGAGAGAGTGTGTGTGAGAATATGTGTGTGTTTGAGTGAGAGAGAGAGTGTGTTTGTGTGTATGTGGGAAAGAGAGAGAGAGTGTGTGTGTGTGTGTGTGAGGGGGAGAGAGAGTGTGTGTGAGGGGGAGAGAGAGTGTGTGCGTGTGTATGTGGGAGAGAGAGAGAGAGTGTGTGTGTGTGTGTGAGGGGGAGAGAGAGAGTGTGTGAGCGAGGGTCTGTGTGAGTATGTGTGTGTTTGAGTGAGAGAGAGTGTGTGTGTGTGTGTGTATGTGTGAGAGTGTGTAGTGCGGTGGGGCCACCTACAGTGTGACATGAACCCAAGATCTCATTTGAGGCTGAACTCATGGGTACCAAACTTGGCTATCAGCCTCTGCTCGGCGACTCTGAGCTGTTGTGTATCCCAAAGTCCGCCTTAAAGGATGTTTACCCGAAGATCCGAGGCCTAATGTCCTTGACACTGTTGACAATGACCAGACAGACACTACACCATTGAATGAATGGACACTGCGCAACAATGGCCAAGTGGAATGTTCCCTCCCAAATGGGGGGACACTTCAGCAGTCAAACTGGAAAATGTGCAAGGAAGTTTTATGAGAATGTTGCCTGGACTAGTAGGCCTGAGTAATTGGGAGAAATTGGCCAGGAAGGACTTTATTCCTTGAAACATAGGAGAATGAGGGGTGGCCTTACTGAGGTATATAAAATCATGAAGGGCAAAGATAGAGTGTATGCATGTAGTCTTTTTCCCAGGGATGGGGAATTGAAAACTAGAGTGCATAGGTTTAAGGTGAGAGGGGAAAGATTTAAGAAGGACCTGAGGAACAAATCCTTCACGCATAGAGTGGTGCATATATGGAATGGGCTGCCCGAGAAAGTGGTTGAAGCAGGTACAATAGCAACGTTTAAAAAATATTTGGATAGGTATAAGGATGGGAAATGCTTAAAGGGATTTGGACCAAATGCGGGCAATTGGAACTAGCTGAGTGGACAGCATGGTCAGTGTGGATTAGTTTGGGCCGAAGGGCCTTTTTGCATGTGTATTACTATATGACTCTATTACTATATTACTCTATTACACAGTCAATTCTAAACAAGGACTCACACTTAAAATGCATTGTCTGACCTGGGATGTCAACTCTGGTATATTGAGGGAACTGATAAAACCTTTAGTTCTCTCAGGACAGTTACTTTGAAAGGAATTCAGGAATCTACATATACATATTAATCAATTAAAACCTTCTAACTGGTTAAAGATTTAACAGAATCTTATGTTTGTTTAAATCATCTTCATCAGTTGTGTGACCCTTTGATCTTTTGCTTAGAAATTCTGTGTCTGATACCATCTCTCTCACTGACTCCTGAAGAAGGAGCGAGACTGCGAAAGCTTGGGTCTCCAAATAAACCTGTTGGACTACAACCTGTGTGTAATTTTTGAGCATGGGCAAATGTGCAGTTGTTCATTTTGGAAGGTAGAACATAAGAATAGAACCTACCTCTGACATCTCCCCTATACCTTCCTCCAATCAACTTAAAATTATGTCCCCTCATAATAGTTATTTCCACCCTGGGAAAATGTCTCTGTGTATCCACACTATCTATGCCCCTCATCATCTTGTACACCTCAATCAAGTCACCTCTCATCTTTCTTCACTCCAATGAGAAAAACCCTAGCTCCCTCATAAGACCTGTCCTCCAGTCCAGGCAGCATCCTGGTAAATCTCCTCTGCACCCTTTCTAAAGATTCCTATAATGAGGCAACCAGAACATTTAATATGGTGCCACACACTTTGGGCAAAGCCCCAAGGCATTTTCTATGTCCGTGTGTTTGACAGAAGTTGGTTGGCATTCAGAAGTAATGGCCACCCAATCCATGGAGTCATCCATGTTCATAGCACAGATGGAGGCCATTGGGCCAATCCTGTTCTGTGCTGGCCAACAAAGATTTGATTGCACTCATCCCATTTCCCAGTGCTTGACCCACAACTCAAGCGAGAATTTAAAAACTGCTTAAATGTGGTGAGACATTCTGATTTTGTTACCCTTGAGTTCCAGACCAACACCCTCTGCCTCCTGCCTCTCAGCCAATCTTGGATCCATGGGTTGTTTTCCTGTAGATCCCATTGGCTCTTATTTTTCTGTTCAGTCTGTCATGAGGCACCTTAACAAAAGCCTCATTAAAGACCATGTATCAACTGCATCAATATTCCTACTTAGCACCTCAAGAAATTTGACTGAAATTGACAAATATTACCTTTCTGTCACAAATCCAATGCGGCCTTAGTGTACAAATCCAGGAGTAAGGATTGAGATGGAAAAGATATCAAGAGTTTTCTTCTGAAGAGCTGGGGAGTTTAATGCATGGTCTTGGGCACCATCAACAAAACAGAATCATCATAAAATCCCTACAGTGTGGAAGGAGGCCATTCAGCCCATCAAGTCCACACCAGCCCTCCAACGAGCATCCAACCCAGACCCACCCCTTTAACCCTGCATTCGCCATGGCTAACCCACCTGGCCTGCACACCATGGACAATTTAGCATGGCCAATCCACCTATCCTGCACATCTTTGGACTGCGAGGGGAAACTGGAGCACCCGGAGGAAACCCATACAGACGCAAGGGGAATGTACAAGCTCCACACAGACCTGAGGCTGGAATTGAAACCTGATCCCTGGAACTGTGAGGCAGCACTGCTAACCACTGAACCACCGTGCCACCCATCAACCTTGTTGCTTTCCATGCTAATTTGTTCTGCACTAATTGGTTACTGAGTTTCACTTGGCTTAGAACCATGTTTAGAAGCAGGTTATTAGCTGGTAAACCTTTATGATGGCAAGATCCGGAAAGGTGCTACATGGCTGGAAACTGTGGCTTGAACCTTGAGATACCATTCTGGACTAGACAATGCTTGAGTGGTGTGCCAGTGACTGAAGACTTACTGTCAAATTTGCACTCATGAATTCATCAATACACAAGTGAGTAGCACCAACTGGAGTTGGAAGAATGATTCTAGCTGTTGAAAGTTCTCTGCTGGCATCAAACATCCAACAGATTAAGTGAATGCAATGGCGATAAATTTGATGAAGGCAAATGGTTGTAGATATAAGTACGCCAGTAACAGGGATTGGAATGTTTAACTGAAGTAGCAGAAGACATTGGGAAGAAAAATGGTCCAGCCAAGTCAATTCAGGAGAGTGGTTGGCAAACATATTCTGTTGTATCATCGCATTCCTACAATGTGGAAGCAGGCCATTTGACCCATCGAGTCCACACCGACTCTCCGAAGAGCATCCCAACCAGACCCACACCCCCTTCACTACCCCTGTAACCCTGCATTCCCCATGGCTAACCCATCTAACCTACACAAACCCTGGACACTGTGGGCAATTTAGCATGGCCAATCCACTTAACTGCACATCTTGGACTGTGGGAGGTAATCGGAGCATCCAGAGGAAACCCACACAGACATGGGGAGAATGTACAAACTCCACACAGACAGTCACCTGAGGTTGGAATCAAGGTCCCTGATGCTGTGAGGCAACGGTGCTAACCACTGAGCCACCATGTTGTCCCAAAAGCAGCACCCTAACAGGGATGTATAAATTACTCAACAAAGCAGAGACCAAGTGATTTCAATTGTGCTTCAATTACTCATGGGATGTGGGCAACACTGGCTGTGCCCAGCATTTTTCACCCCCTTCCCTAGTTGCCCCCTTAAGAAGGTGAGCTGCCTTATTGAACCGTTGCAGCCCATTTGCTGTAGGTAGACCCACAATACCCATAGGGAGGGATTTCCAGGATCTTGACCCAGCGACACCGAAGGAGCATTAATATGTTTCCAAGTAAAGATGATGAGTGGCTCGGAGGGGAACTTGCAGGTTGTGATATTTCCATATATCTGCTGGCCTTGGCCTTTGAGGTGGAAGTAGTCGTGGGTTTGGAAGGTGAGACCCAAAGATCTTTGGTGATTTTTTTGCAGCACATCAGCTGCTACTGAGCATCAATGGTGGAAGGAATGGATTTTAGTGGATGTGGTGCCAATCATGCAGGGCTGCTTTTTCCCTGGATGATGTTGAGCATCAACTATCTACTTATCTGGTGACCCTTCCTCAGTTCTGAGGAACTGGACCTGAAACATTAATTCTGATTTTTTCTTCACAGATGCTGCCAGACCTGCTGAGCTTTTCCAGCAACTTCTGTTTTTGTTCCTCACATCTATTTATTTTGGCTTCTAGCATCTTCAGTCCTTACTGCCTCCAGGGTCAGGAGTAGGCCGTTCAACCATTTCAGATTGGTCCACCCATTTAATGGGATTGTGGCTGATCATCCAACTCAGTTCCCTGTCCCCCTGCTTTCTTCCTTTAGCTCATAAGAACTCCATAAAACTCCTTATAGACAATAGAACAGTACAGCACAGTACAGGCCTTTTGGCCCACCATGTTGTGCCGACGTATTATCAAACTATCCTGCATACCCTACATTGAGCAACATTCAATGTTTCGCCTTGACCACTTTCTGTGGCAAAGAATTCCACAGGCTTCCACTGTCTGGGTGAAGACATTTCTCCTCATCTCAGTCCTACCCCATCTCCTTTAGACTGTGACCCCGGTTCTGCACTCCTTCCTGGTCATTGGAAACATCCCTCTGATTGAGAAACAAACAATCGAGAAAGATTTTATGTGTTTCAGGATTTTATAATCAATTATTGCAACTTGTTTCCTTTGCCAGTGTCTCCCATTGCCTTATGAATCAACTCCGACTGCTTTTCTGTCCAGTAGTCAGGCCCGCTTAATAAAGTGAAGCCCAGATTTCCATAAAAAACATTGCCATTTGTACAAGTTTCTCATCATTAATCCTTTGCCTGATGAAACTAACTGATACAAAATTTTCTCTGCAGATGAAGTGACGAAGAGACACACCTTAACACTTTCACAAGTAAGCTTTGTCTGTCTTTATTTACCTTTTGGTGTGCAGTCCAAACTTTCCTTCCAGTCGATTTAGATACGTGGCTTTATAAAGAAAAGCGATTTGATCTCTAGAAGAAAGATCCTGTTGCAATTATTATGTTCTTTCACATTTAAAAAAAAGCAAAACTGCTCTCAACAAAACATATGGCTCATTCTGGTGATATTTAACAAATAAAATGCACTCATAAGCAATTTAAATTCCAAGCCAAGTTTCTCTAGGTGTTTAACTCTACCCATATCAGAATGGGGAGAGTTTGCAGAGATCTTGAATAGGATGACTTTTTTCCACGGCTGGGGTGGAGGTCCAAAACTAAAGAGCATAGGTTTAAGGAAAGAGGGGAAAGATTCAAAAAGGGCCTGAGAGGTAACTTTTTAATGCAGAGGGTGGTGCATGTCTGCAACAAGCTGCCAGAGGAAGTGATGGAGGTGGGTACAATTACAACATTTAAAAGGCATCTGGATGGGTAGATGAATAGGAAGGATTTAGAGAGATATGGGCCAAATGCTGGCAAATAGGACAAGATCAGATTTGGATGTCTGGTCGACATCAATGAATTGGACCAAAAGGTCTGTTTCTGTGCTGTATGACACTATGACTCTATGATTGTGATGTGTAGGGATCTGAGTGTGCTACTGTATGAATTACAGAAAGTTAGTCTGCAGGGACAATCAGGAAAGCTGGTAGGATGTTGTGGTTTATTTTGAGGATTTGAAAGCAAGATTCGGGAGATTATGTTTTAGTTATACAGTAGTATAACTGCATCTGTAGTACTATACAGTACAGCTCCTTACAGAAGGATGTTAATACGTTGAAAGCAGTTCAGAGGAAGTTTACCAGAATAATTCCTGGGATTAGCAAAATGCCTTATGAGGAAAAGACTAAACTGACTAGGCTCTGTATCCTCTGGAGTTTGGAAAATTTGGAGGTGACTGAATTGAAACAGATAAGATCCGGAGGGGGGCTTGATTGAGTTGATGTGGAGAGGGTGTTCCCTCTTGTGAGAGATCTACAACTGGGCTGGGGGGGGGGTCACTGTTTAAAAAAAGGAGGCACCCACTTAAAGCAGATTTGGGGATATGTTTTTTCTCTCTCTTGGACTGTTGTGAGACTTTGGAATCCACTTTATGCAAATAGAACATAGAACCTAGAACAGTACAGGCCCTTTGGCACATGATGTTGTGCCAAACCTTTATCCTAAACCTAAGGTCTATCTAACCTCCACCTCTACCTTATACTATCATCCATATGCCTATCTAATTGCTGCTTAAATGCCCCTAATGAGGCCGACTCCACTACCCTCTCCGACAATGCATTCCACGCCCCTACCACTCTCTGAGTAATGAACCTCCCTCTGACATCTCCCCTATATCTACCTCCAGTCACTTTAAAACTATGCCCCCTCGTAATAGCTACCTCTACCTGGGAAAAAGTCTCTGGCTGTCCACTCTATCTATACCTCTGATCATTTTGTACACCTCTATCAAGTCACCTCTCATCCTTCATTGTTCTAAAGAGAAAAACCCTAGCTCTCTCAACCTTTCCTCATAAGACCTTCCCTCCATTCCAGGCAACATCCTGGTAAATCTCCTCTGTACCTTTTCCAATGCTTCCACATCTTTCCTGTAATGAGGTGACCAGAACTGGACACAATACTCCAGATGTGGCCGAACCAGGGTTTTGTATAGCTGGAGCATAACATCACGTCTCTTGAATTCAATCCCTCTATTAATGAAAGCTAACACACCATACGCCTTCTTAACAACTCTATCCACCTGGGTGGCAGCTTTCAGGGAACTGTGGACATGAACCCCAAGATGGCTCTCCTTGTCCATGTGGATTGAGATGAGTGAGTATTGGTCGTGTCTTTTTGTAGCCAGTTGGTGTTCATGTACTCATGTTGTTAGTTTCCTTCCTGTTTGTCCGATGTAGTGTTTCTCACAGTCTCTGCAGGGGATTTTGTAGATGACATTAGTCCTGTCCATGGCGGGGAGTGGGTCCTTGGTTCGGGTGAGCAGTTGTCGTAGGGTTGACATGGGCTTGTGTGCCACTCTGATGCCCAGCGGTCGTAGGAGTCTTGTGGTGAGTTCCGACGTGTTTCTGATATAGGGTAGTGTGATCAGTGTGTTGGGGCGTGTAGTCTCTTTCTGATGCTGTTCGTGTAGGCATCTTCTGATCCAATTCTTTGGATATCCATTATCCTTGAAAACCTGGAAGAGGTATTCTTCTTCTTCTTAGCGTAGTTCCATGTTGCTACAGTGTGTTGTTGCCTTTTAAATAGTGTTCGCACGCAGCTTCGTTTGTGTGTTTTGGGATGGTTACTGTTGAAGTTCAGTACCTGGTCTGTGTGTGTGGCTTTTCGGTGTACTTTCGTTTGCAGTTCCCCATTTGTCTTGTGCTCTACCATGACGTCCAGGAATGGGAACTGTTTGTTCTTCTCCTCCTCTCTGGTGAATTTTATTCCGATGACGGTGTTGTTTATAAGTTTGTGTGTCTCCTCTAATTTGGTCCGTTTAATGATGGTCTATTCTGTTGTTGTCGTTTTTGTGGGTAGGTGTGGCTAGCTTGTCCTGCAGGGTCTGTCTTTTCTTGGTTCTTGTGGTCTGTCGGCTGATGTTAATGGTTCATTCCATGCTATCTCATACACACATACACATATACATACACACAAACACACACAGAAATATGAGGTGTACTTGCCTTTATTCAACAAAACTAGAGTTTAAGAGCCGAGGCAATGCTGAAACTGTATAAAACGTCAGATAGGCCACACAGCGAAAGTATTACGTGCAGTTCTGGAATCCACATTCTAGGGGGGAATGTGATAGCAGTGGGAGACGGTGCAGAGGGAGATTTACCAGGATGTTGCCTGGTAAGTTGCACTGAAAAGTTTCAGTGATGGAGAGAGATTGGATAGACTGGGGTTGTTCTCTTAGAGCAAAGGAGATTGAAGGGGAACATGACTGAAAGGTATAAAATGATGAGGGGCATAGACAAAGTAGACAGAAAGAAACTCCATGAAGGGGGATCTATGACTGGGGTGGGGACATAGATCAAAGGTGAGGGGGGAGAGGTTTAGAGGGAACATGAGGAAAAACCTTTTCACCCAGAAGGTGGTGGGGAATCTCAAATTCACTGCCTGTAAGGGTGAGAGAGGCCGAAACACTCATCACATTGAAGAAGGAGTTAATTGAGAAGGGTTCAGATGCCAAGCCTAGAGACTAAGTGGGATAGAATAGTGAGGTGGTTGTTTATGAGCAACACAGACAAGATGGACCGAAGGACATTTTTCTATGTTGTAGACCTCAATCAATCCTTGAAACACTTATTCAAACAGACCAACACTTTCAGACTCTCACACACTCTCACTCACACATACATATACACACACACACACAGCTCGCATATGCACTGTCACATACAAACACACAGACACTCAGACACACAAACTCACATGCACTCACTCTCGCACAGGCTCATACTCTCGCACAGGCTCACACTTTCGCACAGGCTTTCACAAATGTACATAAACAAGAATACTCACAAATTCAGACATATAGATAAACACATCTACCACACATTTTTTTTTATTTATTTGTGGGAAGTGGGCATTGCTGGCTGGGCCCAGCATTTATTAACCCATTCCTAGTTACCCCCTTGAGAAGGTGGTGGTAAGCTGCAGTCCACATGCTGTAGATAGACCCACAATGCCCTTGGGAAGGGAATTCCAGAATTTTGACCCAGTGACACTGAAGGAACAGCCAATATATTTCCAAGTCAGGATGGTGAGTGGCTCAAAGAGGAACTTGCAGGGGTTGGTGTTCCGATGTATCAGCTGCCCTTGTCCTTCTAGACAGAAGTGCTTGTGGGTTTGGAAGGTGCTGTCTAAGAATCTTTGGTAAATATTTGCAGTGCATCTGATACACACTACTAATTATTGCAACTGGGGGGAAATGGGAATAATAGTGCAGAATGCAACTCATGGATTTCGAACCAGTGACATGCATAATAAGATGATCTACGTGCACAGGGTCTGGATCTGAGGAGTGAAGGAGACAGAGAAACTGGCTACTCGGCAAACAATAGCACTGAATTTTTGACTGATGTGCGACTATGTCCTAGAGGGTCACAGAAGAAACCTTTTTTTATTACATTCCAAGAACAGTGACTTGGAAGCACTGCACCAAAAGCAGCTGATGACATGCAAGGACATCAGAAAAAGTACCACACAACAAGAGAAGCAAAGACACTCTGCACGTGGAATCAACTCTCTCCAGTTTTATTTTCAATGCATTTTGGGGTGAACAATTTTGTTTTCCGTGCAGTGTCAGTTGACATTCAGTTTTGCTAGTGATGATGGTGGATGTTTTCCCAGCCCATCCCGAATAAAATTCTGTCCAACATTAATGTTCCAAGCTGTGTTCAATTGAAGGTGTGGAAGTCTAATAACAGCAGGGAAGAAGCTGTTCTTGAATCTTGGGACATGTTATCATGGAAAAGGGTGGAAGAGTATATAACTGGGGTGGGAAGGATCCTTAATTATGTTGGCTGCTTTCACAAGGCAGCAGAAAGTACAGATGCAGTCAATAGATGGAAGGCTGGTTTACGTGATGGACTGGGTAGTGTTCACAACTCTGATTCTTGTAATCTTAGGCACAGCAGTTGCCATATCAGGCTGTGCTGCATCCAGATAGGATACTTGCTAGAGTGGATCTACAAAAATTGGTTGGAGACCTTGTGGATGAATTGAATTTCCTTAATCTTCTGAGGAACCAGAAGCATTGGTGTGTTTTCTACTCTGTAGGGATTCCAGGACATTTCCCCATAGCAGAGGGATGATTGATCGGGGGGCATTGATTGAAGGCAAGGGTCAGGAAGTTTAGTGGGGACGTGAGGAAAAGTGTTTTTCACCCAGACGGTGGTGGAGAATCTGGAACTCACAGCCTGTAAGGGTGGGAGAGGCAGAAACCCTTATCACATTGAAGAAGTATTTAGATGTCCACTTGCGATGCCAAGGCATACAAGGCTCTGGGAAAATGGAGATTAGAGTAGTTAGGAGGTTGCTTTTAGCTGGTGTGGACTCGATGGGCTGAAAAGCTTTTCCTTTGAGCTGTAGATTTCCGTGATGTGATCAAGTACAGTCTCCAGACCTACCAGGCCAGTCTGGTTTGCGGATTTTGGGCAGGATGTAGAAGCAGACTCTCTGGGGTTTGGGAGACCACCACGATGGAGGCCCACCTCATGACACTGATGCCTTCACCTGCTTCCAGTATTTCACCCTCCATTTGGACCCCTTCCCTGGCGTCTTACCTGCCCTTGATCTCTTCATTGAAAACTGCCGGTGTGACATTGGCTGTCTCAATTTCTCTGCTCCTCTCACCCACTCTAACCAGTCCCCTTCTGAAATTACCACACTTCGCTCTCTTAGGTCCAACTCTAACTTTGTTATCAAACCCACTGACAAAGGTGGTGCTGTTGTAGTCTGGCGTGCTGGTCTTTACCTTGTGGAGGCTCAATGCCAACTCTGAGACTTCTTCCTATCTTCCCCTGGACCATGACCCCACATCCAAACATCAAGTCATTGTTGCCAGGACTATCACTGACCTCGTTACCTCCGGAGATCTTGCCCTACCACATGCCCCCCACTGCCTCCAACCTGGTGGTCTCCCAACCCTGGACAGCCCGCTTCTACCTCCTTCCCAAAATCTCCAAACCAGACTGCTCAGGTAGGCCTATCATATTAGCCTGTTCCTGCTCCACTGAGCTCATTTCCTCCTCCATTGACTCCATCCTCTCTCCACTTGCCCAGACCCTGCCCTCCTATATCTGCAATTTGTCTGATGCCCTCCACCATATTGGCAATTTCCAGTTCCCTGGCCCTAACTGCCTCCTGTTCACCGTGGATGTCCAATCCCTCCTTTTCCCACCAGCATGGTCTGACAGCTCCCAGCTTCTTCCTGGACCAGAGGCCTGAACCATCCCCATCCACCAACTCTCTCCTCCAACTGGCTGAACTTATTCTCTCACTTAGCAATTTCTCCTTTATTTCATCTCATCTCTGCCAAGTTAAAGGAGTGGCAGTGGGCACCCGCATGGTCCCAGTTTTGCTGCCTCTTTATGGGGTATATGGAACAATCCTTGTTCCAGTCCTACACTGCCCCCCACCGCCCCCGCCACCAGCCTCTGCATTCAAAAGATCATTCTCCATTGTTTCAGACAACTCCAGTAGAACGCCAACACCACACACACCTTCCCCTCACTCCCACTGTCTGCATTTCACAGGGATCGTTCTCTCAAGAACACCTTAATCCATTTCACAATGATCAACATCACACAACCATTCCATGGCACCTTCCCATGTAACTGCAGAAAGTGCAACACCTGCCCCTTCACCTCCTCTCTGCTCACCATCCAAGGGCTTAAGTAGTCTTTCCAGGTGAAGCAGCATTTCACTTGTACCTCCTGTAATCTTTGTGGATCACCTTCTTGTAGCCGGTCATTTTAACACAGTGTCCTGCTCATATGCTCAAGCCTGTCCTCGGCATGCTGCCCCAGTGAATCACAGCACAAACTGGAGGAACAATATTTCATCTTCAGACTTGGCACTTTACAGCCTTCTGGACTTAATATTGAGTTCAACATCTTGAAATTGTGAATCAGTTCCCACTTCCCTTTCTTTTAGCTTGTTATATTTTGTTATCATGTCCTCTCTCCCCTCCCCCATCCCAGTGGGGCTGTCTGTCCTTTTGGGTCTGGCAGGAGACACACCATTGTTCTGCCATTCTCACATTCTGATCGCTTAATCTGAACTATCAATGTCCTTTCTCTCCCAGCATACTACACTCCCCCAGTACTCCAACACCCCCACCCGCCACTGTTGCATAAATGCTGTCCCCCTCCAAACTTCGCTTCAGCTCTGATGAAGAGTTATCGAGACTCGAAACATTAGCTTGCTCTCTCTCCATGGATGCTGTCTGACCTGCTATGATCTGTTTGTTATTTGTTATTTTTAGATATGTATCAGGATTCACCTAAACAGGGAGCACTTAATCTTATCCAAGAGGGGTGCTGTTTGCTCTGATTCTTATATTTATTCTAATTTCTCTCCTACGCAGTAAATCCTTTCTAGTTCTGAAAGGCTTTCTTGAGGTGTTTGCCATTTTTTTGCTGCACAAGGCTTTTTTTTTCCCGATAATATCCAACAGGGATCCTGTCCTAGCAGTATAATGGCTAGGCTACTAATCCAGAGGCACGGGTCATGTGCTGGGGACCTGTGGCAGATCATGGGACTTGAATTCCATTTTTATAAAAAGAAATCCAGAATAAGATCAATAATAACCTTCATTAGTTGTGGGAGAAACACAACTGGGACACCATGATAACAAGGTGCAGGGCTGGATGAACACAGCAGGCCAAGCAGCATCATA